ACAGAAGCCAAAGCGGAGAGGGCCAGCGAGCCAGCCTCAGTGTCGACCACGATGGGGGTGAGGTTCTCGGCAAGGTCCTCTCGGCGGGACCCAGAATAGGCAAAGCCGAGGCCCATCACCGCCGCCTAAGAAGACCCTCATGGACAAGCAGCGATCGAGGGCACTACCATTTTGACAAGGGGCTCGTTACTATCCAACTGCTCGGCCAGAAGGGCCCAGGCGGGGTCAACGTCGGAAGTAACACCAGTCGAGGCCAAGCCGAAGCCCAGCATGGCGCCGGCCTTCACGTTGATGTTTTCTGACCATTGATACCTATAACGAACACTCAACCCGCACAGGTTCGAATCTCAGCAGGTCCTACTTATCGATCTGTGCGAGACCCTCATCCACATCCCACAACATGATAGAGCCTAATGATGCCGCCGCTCCCAGCATGCCTAACAATAAGGCGGAGCGAAGCAACTCTTCATTCACCATTTCCACTCTCCTCATCAATACCTCTATCCTTATTTTTATAAAGCCATTGACTGCCTTCCACAGTCATCAGCTTGTCCGTACCAAAGCCCACATTCACCAAGGCATTGACGTAGGTCGATGCCAGGTTCTGCTTAGCCGAGTCTATCACCTATCCAAACAATAAGGACCCGTCACATTCTAGTGGGCCTTACAGAAGTGGCAGGGTTCCTCCCACGCTCCTCGAGGTGAGTCTTGTACACGTCCTCTGGGGCCTTGGCTGAGAGGAGGACCGACAATAATACAACGAAAATCAACATTACAGGTGCCCTCCTATGACCAGCCCTGACTATTCGTTCGAATGCTATTCTAGAAAACCGACTTGCAATGTGGGATAATATGCACTCGCTCAACTACGCGAAAAAATTCCCGAGGAAATTTTGGGAAAATCTGCTTTCATAATGTAACAGAATAAACTTCTGAGCTGAGCTGATGAAAGCCAACGCATTCTTCAACACTGTCCACATCACATTTCAATTGCGCCCCAGGCATTCCTGACGTACTGGATTCTACTAACTAGGAGTATTAGCTAAGACAGGACCACCAGAGGCTCGTACTACCTTCAACTACATCCAGGTCCTTGGCCAGGTTATGGTAAGTAGTAGAGAGGCTTTCGTTAGACAAGATGGATATCTGAACACTGTGAGATGACCTAACCCTCGTCAACCCTTGCCCAAACTAACCAAATCAGCGTCCTCGTCCTCGTCTAGACCCAACTCCTCAGCAGCCTGCAGCGCACCCCCACTGGCCCTACCCGAGGACCGGGCATATATATAACACATTTGTCGGGCTATGGACCTGAGAAAGACAAGTAGATACATACCCTACGGGGCAGGGGCTGACTACCTGTCCTCCTTCACATCAATGGCAGCCTTCATAGTCTCACGAACTCTACCAAAATTGTTCATTCTCATGGCAATTCTGAAGAGGACATTCAGCTCAGCATTCACCTCCACGATGCTGCTCACATCAGAGCACTGGGGAGGTCCTTCATTTGCGTGAAAATCTGATACGTCACATTGAGAAGTACCCTCCTCTCCTCCGTGTTGGCAGCGAAATGGGCCAAGCCGACCAAATACTGGCAGACCCTCGGAGCCGTGACGCTATCCACCAACTGATGCAAGGACGCTGCTGAACATCCTCACCCCGTAGACACCTCTACCTCAGGTAGCTTGTCGATGCCATCAGTCTCAGCCAGGAGGTCCACCGCCTCAGTCTCCGCACTATGGCTCATGTTATACGGGACCTTAGCAACGAGGTCGATACGCATACTGCACCACTGTGGTATGGTATTACTATTTGATCCACCAGCCTTATGAGCTCAGTAACGTCCATGCCTTCAGTCATGCGACTCTGGTACTCAGTCGCTATCTCCCCTGAGATGGTCCTGACATGAACAGTCCTCTGACGGTTGCGCCCTGCAAGTCCAAGGCGGTTCCAAATCGAAATGAGAATCAGCAGCTCCCTCCCAACTGAGTGTACTACTACTTCATAAACTCCATGCCCCATTTAGTGATGTCCTCATTGGTACCAGCCAATCGATATCGTAGACTTGCCCCTTTCTTAACGTGCCCTATAGCAGAAGACTGCTCCCCCTTGGCACTGCTCTCCGCCTCCTTAGGTGCTTCCTCAGAGGAGGCCACCGAAGCAGTGACGCCTTCATCATCGCCAGCCTTCGCCTGCTTCTCTTGAGACCTCTCCAGTGGTATGGTCGTAGAGAGAACCTGCGCTAACCATCGCGCGACCCCGGTTCAATCCCGACCTACTGCAAGGACATCTGCCAGTTCCTTCCTAACGCCACTATCAGACATCGTCTCATAGGCTGCAGCTAAGGCAGTGAAATGTGCCCTTAGGAACTTCAAAGGCTTGGGTACAGAAGTCATACTACAGTAACGCGAAAGCCACCATACACCCCTCCCCTCATCACAGTACTGCCCACCTGCTCGCCGCCGACCGCATCTCCTGTCCAATAGCTTGGATAGCCGATTCAATATCACCCGCCGGCCTGGAGTTAACAAGTACACTACGCGGAAGCCTCCTACACCTACCCTGAAGTAATGGTCTCCACCTGCTTCTCAAGAAGGCTCTTAAGTTGCTGGTCCTCCTCAGACTGGACGAAGGCACAACATACGGTTCAACACCGTCATCACTACTATTACCAATTCCTTTTCGGCCGCTATCTTTCGTCTCTTCTCCTCCATCACACGCCTTCTTTCCTTAGCCGCCCTCTCCGCCTCATCCGCAGCATGGAGTACCTTCTTATTATCACTACTACCACCACCGTTAGCCATCAATAAGGAAGAATAAGTCCAAAAACACAACTAAGCAGCCAATACTCCCCCCTCTCAGGAACGCCACACAGGCAGCCGGAGGTCGACATGTGATCAAGGGCGAGACCGTGTGCTGTAGGACTATACATCCTACCGTCCCTCAGCGACAGCCACCTCCCTATAGGTACCATCTCTGGTGAAACTGTATAAGATCGCTCTTGTTAACCTACCGACGTATCTCAACACTCTATGGATAGAGTCAAGCGCGAGCCCTGGATGGACTACCCTCCAGAAAAAGGCCCAACACAGGGTGGCCCAGTACTACCAGCATAGCCTTTTCAGAATGTCACATGCACCGTGAACCCATCGCTAGGCGCCTGATATATATACTTGGTCCTCTGAAGATCTCCAGCGTCCATAGCGGCCGTCATAACCTCTGCTGGAACATGTTCTTCACTCTGCAGCCATCAACGACTAGCATATTTCCACCATGCTAGGTTGATTCCAACCAACCCCGAACACAGACAAAAGCTACGACTTTGCATCGAGGGGCTGCCCAGCAAAGGTAAATCGCTACTGTTGCCCACTACAACGCAAAAAGACTCCCAACACTAAAGCGCTCTTTCGAAGTGTGAAGGTAGCAATGGTACAATCCCAATAAAACTAAACAGGAGGAGTAATGGTGTGAGGCGGCGGGAAGGATATACATATATTCACCAACACTCGGTGCCACGAAGGTAGGTCCTCAACAGGCCTCGCTTTCACAAGCGCACTGGCCGCACGATCCTGAGCAATAGGCGTTATGACTTCCCCTTCTACACCCGTTGTATTACCAATCCGAAAGCCAAACTCTCTTGGAAGTCCATAAGGGTAGCGCCCTCATCCGCTACCATCCGAGTCCAATGGGAGTGTACAGCCATACAAGTCGCAGTGAACAGATCCTCAAAGGCCCCGTTAGTGAGGGCTAAGGCTGAGGCGAAGACCTTCCTCTCGTAACCAGAGGCAACAATAGCGTCCTTAGTTACTGGGGAAAAACCTGCAACGACTACTCATGTTGGAAGGCCCTCACCCCTACTACCATCAACAATACCCAGGTAGTGGAGTAACATAAAATGGACGTTGATGGCAGTAGCTGCGAATGGATAGTGAAATTGATTAAAATCCATAAGGCAGTAACCATCACTGACAGCCACCATCTCTCGAAACTCCTATAACAAAAACCGTCACAAATGCTACAACTTTCCCCCCAGCCTACCGAAGTATATGCTCTCGCTGCTTGAACCATACACAGTAGTGCATGAGGGCCTGTCCTGAGGTCAGTACTAGGGCACGCACTTTGGAACCCCACAGCCTTCCACCGTTCATCTCGTGGTAATTCGGGCGGAGCGGAGCCAACATCAGCAGTGACTAGAGTCCACCAGTCAATAAGGTGGCTATTCATGCTCTCCTCACTAATACTATTCTCAACAGAGGCTGCCCTGGTGAGGTCACCGAGCAGACCCTCTTCCACTGGGGTCAGAGGTGGACAGGCCCTAACATGGGTCTTCCACCACCTTTGCAACTTATATAAAACCCTATTGAACCACTCCTTTATGCGACGGCAACGGGACGATTTCCGTGGCGCGTGAAAACAACTGCAGCAGCACCTCTCTTTGAAGGACCGACCGGGACCGCCACAGCTGGCAGTAGTGTGGGATGATGACGGTTGGTGAGCCGCTGGGCCCTCCATAGCCTCGTAGTGGGCCTGTATAGGAAGCACCGTTGTGCCCCCAGAAGGGGAGACTACTGCCAAGGACGACATAATGAAACAAGGAACCAATAGGAACTGCTGTCTTGGGACCACATATTAAGTGCGTTTCTGGATAATATCACCCGCACCGCTCCGCCATCCCCGACCCTCTCAGAAACGTCACTCGCCATGAAACCATACAGCCCGTCGTATACTACGACATTCGTTGTGACCATTCGTAGTGCACTCTTTTAAGCCGCATAGTTATTAATAAAACGTTACAAGATCACTCACTACTCATAAGTGTCCATGAGGTTCCGATTGTATGTCATGTGCATTGGAAGTGTACTCCAATGCCTGGTTTGCTTTAACTACCTAGCTACAGACACTTGCAATCATACCTTGGTATGATGATAACACGTCTACCCATTTTGTCGTTTCGCGCGCCACAAAATTCACCAAACCATCACTAGAAAACGAACAGCAAATGTGTAGGAGGAACGTTGAACTGCTTTTTCGGTGTATGCCGTGACCAACGCCATAATGCCAACAACGTCTCGCATTAGCAGTAGGCGAAGGCTCGCATTCGCAGTAGAATCATAATGAGTATTATTATTAACAATGAACGTTGTTGAAGGGCCTTCACTCTCGCAGAGTTTTGATGCGACCACCGCCGATAAGCTGCTTCTTCGCAAACTCGTCCTTGAGCATATCGACATAGTCCTCAAAGGTCCCTTCGAAAACAGTAACACTACCTGAAAATAATGCAACACTGACCACCCCAAGCAGCAACAATGACTGCTGACCAGATCTCCAACCAGTTTTGGACGAGGCATCCTTCTTGCCAGGCATGACCACCCACAGCTCATCAGCTACCATGCTTACCAGACGCTCGTCGTGGGATACCAGAACGACACCACCTTCGAACCTAAAGAGGTGTTGCTGTATCAGAGAGGAGGTACTTCGGTACTCACCTATTCAGGGCGAGGGCAAGGCCTTCAATAGTCTCCAAATCTAAATGGTTCGTGGGCTCATCCATAAGCAGCAGGTGAGGGTGCTTATAGGCGATTTGGGCAAAGATGACTCGAGACTTCTGACCTGAGGAGCCAGTGGATGCTCTCCGCGATAGGCACATGCTCAACTATACGACGATAATAACAGAATTTTGAGGGTATTTTAATGGTTTCGTACCCCCTCGATCAGAGTGATCTGAAAACATTCGTAATCCACAAGAAGAATGCCAAGCTCAAGGAGCGGAGCATACATTCCAACACTGCTCCGTCCTAGAAAGCCGATCTCACCTCCACTCAGCGTCTCGATAGGCTGCAGGGCCAAGTCGCCAGCTAGACCGAAGTGACCTGATGCAAGGACCAAGGATAAAAGTATATACTCATTGGTGTTATGTTCAGATGACTATAACGGCGAGAGGCTCACAGACATAATCACAATACTCAAACAAACAAAACTCAAGCAAGCGCTTTAGGCTGATGATTTTTATCATATTCCGTCACCCTTCGTTGACAGAATGCTGCATCAGAATATTGTACGGCACTTTGACCGCGAAACCTACCCAGATATTTCCGGCAGTTCTCAATGGAGATCTCGGGGTCCACTCTCCGCATAGTAGTGACTGCATTAACAGACAAGTCTAGTGCATCAACGTGATGCTGAGTGAACCTATTACATACAGTCACGCTGCACGCCGTTCGAACACTCTTACCGAGCAATGGAAAGCTTGGCGTGCCTCCGTACAGCTCCATCGGTGGGGTCCAGCGACCCGTCCAGAAGCTTGAGGAACGTAGACTTACCTATATACAACAGTACTCGACCCTGTAGGACAGGCTTTGAGCATACCGGCTCCATTCGGTCCGACAATGGCCACTCTACTATCACAGTCAACACCGAAGTTGAGGTGCTTATAAAGGGGCCTCTCAGGAGTGTAACCGAACTGAAAGGGTACACAAACTCATCCCCTCACATAGTCGACATATCAATGATAACAGAAAAACAGTCATCAACAGCAACAGAGGCAGTCTCAGACGTCCTCTTACCGAAGCATCAAGTACCGATATACAAGGCGGTGGCAAAGGAGCGGCAGCGGGGAAGTTGAGCTGCAGGTACGGATCGTCATAATCTACGGGGGAGGCAATGTCACAGTGGTGGTCGACGACGGAGAGCACCTACCAACTTCCACGGCTTCATCCTGGAGCTTCGAAAGCATCTTCATACGGCTTTGGGCCTGTCGGGCCATCTTCTTATTACCGTGCCCGAACCTGACAAGATATGTCCATCGTGCAAAGCCATGTTATAAAAACTACTACCTCGATATGAACTGCTTTAGCTGCGCTACCCTCCTCTCTTGCACACCAGCCATCACCGCCTGAACACACATTCCATCGCATAGAGATCAACACAGCAACCAACCTGATTCGCCCTGTGCTCCGCTCGGACCCTCAGGAAAGTGTCGTAACTACCACCATAGTACCACAATCGCTTCCGATGCTGGAATATAGTATGCGAAGTCGTCTGAAGCACTCACAGTTGACAATGGCCGAGGCGAGTTCACCAACCTGATTGAGAAAGCCTCTATCGTGACTGACTATAATGACAGTCTTCTCCCAAGAGGCCAGGAACTCCTCCAACCACGTCAATGCCGGCACATCTAAATGATTCGTCGGCTCGTCCAACAGGAGCAAGTCGGGCGTCATGAACAGTGCCTGATCAATGAGTAACGGCATGACCACAATGGCGTGATGTTGATGGTTGATGATATTGAATCACACTGCCTCAGCATTGACCTAGAACCACCCTACTTCTATAAGGGTGCTACTACTGCAATCAGCGGCGAAATCAATACCCACCAGGACGGCCAAATATCGTATTAGTCGGAAGGTGTAAGAATCAGTAGAGAGTTGGTGAATCGAGACTGGATAACTCACATTCATTGAGATCACTCCCGCTAGAGAGCTTTCTCCCGTGATATGAAAAACACTAGTGAAGAACATATTTCGCGACTACTGCATAGTGCGAATATCGCGTTTTTTACAGAGTTTTACGCCACTTCATGTAAAACGGGTGAAACTCCACTTTGCCACCCCAATAGCACTGCATTCATGATGAGTTCCTCACCTGTGCCAAGGCAATACGCATCCTCCATCCACCAGAGTACTCCTTCGTCGGCCTCGACTGAGCTTCAGCATCGAACCCCAAACCCGCCAATATAGTAGCCGCTCGAGCCTCCGCGTTCTCACTGTCCAACTCGTCGAGCCGTTCGTAGACTTCCATAAGGTCTATGCCCATGTACTAACAGCAACAACACTGCGCTCTACCTCATAAGCTCTATTCCATCATACCGTTGGCTGTTCAGTTTGACCTTCCTTCACCTCAGTATTAAGGAGCTTCTTCTCAGCCCCGAGCTGCAAGTAGCAAACAAATGTGGGCAACAATGTGTGTACCCCCTACCAGCCATTCACGCTCTTTATCCGCCTGTAACACCGCTTGCAAAACAGGAGTATCATCTCCCGCGATTTCCTAACATTTACTTGACTACAGCAGTACAGCAGTAGCATGATCACCTGTTCGACGTGCATGACGAAAATGAAATCGGGAATCTGGATTTCCTGCTCAGCCACCGCTCTCAGCAGAGTAGACTTCCCCACGCCGTTACGGCCAACCAAACCGTACTGAAATCGTCACTCTTCCTCACTCCACCATCTCACACTACCTTAAAACCATCGGCCAACCGCAGCGTGGCTCCACTCAAGAGCTGTTGACGACCCGCGAACCTAGCAAGGAGGAAATCTTCGTACTGCGCATCACGCATATTTCCTTTATACATGTTGATATCAGTGACCTCAATGTCCATATTCTGTGTCCGATTTCGAGGAGCATCTGGACCAGACCGACTCACAAACCCCAGCACCTGGTTTCACCATCAACCCCAACCCACTGCACTGCAGCCTACCTCTCGAGTGGGGCGACCACCGACGTACTCGGCCGGCTTGTCTGCTTCCTTTGCCCATCGACAGCTGCTGCT